AGATTGACAAAGATAGAGAGCTGTTTGTTAGAGACTAGCTGTCTCATCTATGACTCGAAATCATAGTTTTTTTAACATATTTTGTTTTTAACCCTACAAACAATCAACTTTTTCCTAATTATAATATTAGTACAGAAGAAACTTTCAACAAATTATTATTATCTATAATAAAAAATAATGTATACCTACACCTTCTTGTATTTAAAGCTTCTTCTATTAAGTTTATTTAGTGTTATAAAATTTGTCGCAGTTTTAGTCGTTATCACGTTATAGCATCTTTTATATCTTAATTTCCTTTAGTTATTATAATCAGGTTTACCAATCAAGTAAGAAATTATTTATTCAAGTTTTTTATTATTGTTATAGCCGTTACATGTTAATTTTTAACTTATTTTTGTAGATGTTATTTACCAGTTAAATTTCTTTCCTTGCTGTTACCGTAATTGGTTTCCAATAAGTGTCCGTGTTACTTGAACTTGTAAGGATCGTCATAACCATAAAATTTATTCAAATTTCTTGTTTAACTAGTATTATTTATGGGTTAAAAGAATTATTGCGCTATCGTGCCTTTATAGGTATTATAAATTTACACATTTTTTTATTTGAAATATTCGAACTGTTCCTTGTACCTTTTCGTGTACTCTTTGAATTAGTATCAAAAGAACAGATGAAATTCATTAAAATAAAATCAAAAGCAATATTTGAATCTTCGTTTATAGCCAGCGCATAAAATGACATCCACACTTCATATATGCAAAACACATATTTTGATGACCCGTAGAATAATAAAACTATGTTGGACTAGCTGTTTTCCCGCGACTTCGTCCCCATATATTATAGCCTATGTCACCCACCTATGATGTAAATTCCCGTAGGTGACATAAGTTTTAATATCGATCTAGTAGTTTTAGGGCCTATTCAATGCAAACAAACAATCTCATATTCCCTCTTTTTAAGTATTTAAAATAAACAGCCAAATATTTTTTTTGCCTTTATGAAATTTTACTGACGTATTTATTGAAATTAAAAAAATGTAAGTCCAGAACTATCAAATGAACTATCAAATCTAGGATAATAATCACAACACCAACACAGCAAAGGATTTTCTGTATTTTAAATGTTAAATCGCTCTCTTGAAAAGTAGATATTACACAGACGTAATTTTATTATTTCGATAAGTTGATCTAAGTATAATTACATACATATCTCCTATAGAGTTTTATCACGGGACAAATAATATTATTTGATATTTAAATGAATGGAAAAGGGTATAGATTCTTTTTATGTATTTTTATTTGCCGACAAAAATTCCTTGAATATATGAATAAATAATTCCTTAACAAACAAGTACCATTCGGAACGCCAAATATAAAAGATCAATTCATAGCAGTGACTCATGGCTTAATAGGTAACTGAAGTTAAGACTAATATAAGGTTACAAAGGGAATTGACTGCCACACGCCGCGATGGAAATGAAAGAAATATTAAAATATATCGCACGAATTTCATAGAACTGGGAATGTGACTGAGTTATTTTTCCGTTATTAATTCTCAGAAATTTTAATATAAACGAAATTTCAAAACAAACACAATATTTGATTAAACGGCGAATTTTTGACCTTATTAATTTATATATATAAAAAACAGCTTTTGCATTTTCTAAATATGCATATAACTCAATGTTACTTATAAGAATTCAGCCCAATAAAAAAAAATGATTTGTCCACCCATCCTGTGAGTGGCCTTTGCGAAAGTTGCTTAAATTCCGCATCGGAGACCGAATACGATAACCACTGCATTATCGAGCAATATCTTACTCGCGGTCGTCGAGTTGCGGAGACGCCCGTTGTGAGAAGAAGAAGAAGAAGAAGAAGATCTTACTCGTTTATTATTTTCTATTTTATAATAGAGCAGCAACTTGCGCTACTACATTGAATAAAGAGTTTAATTATAGGTTTTAACTTGTAATTTTTGAAACCAATTGATGAGTTGCCAACATATCACTATATATACCATTGAATGACATGTACTATTTTATTTGCCAAAAGTCTTTGAACCTTAGGCTTATGATCTATTACGAGGTGATTGGAGTTTATCAGATGCGAGAAATGGTACCCTATCCTGCGTACAATAATAATAATTTAGAACTTGATCGAATATTTGAACTTTGGGTCAGTATGTTACTGGATTAAAATTAAATTTAAAAAAATCATTTATGTCATTAAATTAAAAAGTATTTTTGACAATGGAACACTGTTTTATTTTACATATGTGTGCATATTAAATTGCGATTTATTTATTTTTATACTTATTCTAAAAAATCACGAAATAACACGTCTCAAAAATTTGGCATTATACCAATCGATAAATATGGGAGTAGTATAGTTAAGTATTATAATATATTATAAATATCTTTGTGGTACAAGTAACTATAATTATATAATATTTAAGCGACTGTTGGTTAAATATTTAACGGTACATACAGTGAGTAAACACGACTTTCATCAACCAGAATGTAAAAGCGAGATTCAGCGACATATTTTTCCGAAATTAAAATGTCACATTAAATATTTACATCCCGTGTAGTTTTTGGATTCATATCGTCATTCTTTTAATTAGTTTTTCGCTGAAATTGTGCCTCAAAGGGCGTAAAGGAGGAATTTCTAATTTATTGCATTCCAAGCGTTTCGAGAACGACTAATATAGCCCGTGACGCAAACATAACCCAAAGTTCATCGTAAAAATGATACCAGCAAATGTTAATCTATTTAGAGGAGATATAAAATATGTTTGCTTTTAACTACGAACTACATGCCCTTGAAGGGTTTAGCTAACTGACGTACGAAATTATTTCAAGCCGTAAATAATTTACGATTCTATAAATACGTATGTTTAAAAATATGGCCGAATGATTTGTGGCCGATTGAAATTCGTGATATGATTGATGTTTTGCTTGCCAATTTTTTTGAAGACAAACGCTTCAAACGGAAGCGTAGTTTTGTATTAAAAATAATTGAGCAAATTTACCGTTTGAAACGTAGTTTTATATTAAAAATAATTTAACAAACCTTTTTGAGAATTGTCGACTACTGTTTCAATGTTTTCGAATAGCTATTTAAGATTCTTGTGTTTCTTGTGTTAATATTTGTGTTTCTACTTAAACCTTATTTGGATTATTACAAATACAGTTAAAATACTCCTTTTTCGGAGTCGTATAAAAACATAGAGTTCAGTATAGTGGTTCTGAAATAATCATATATTTCTCCAATTCCAAGTAACTACATCTCTAGTATTATGAAGAATAATATGTAGGTTACTATTAAGCTTATGGTTGGTAATAACTAACTTGTACTCCAGGATAATCTGCCCTCTCATAAAAAGCAAAGGTAGTCCAGCGAATCTGCAGGCTTACTCTTGAACGCAATATCAATGTAAAGTTCAATCCAATCCAACGACGATCTCAATTTTCATCAAATCATCAATGTCAATTAGTTCATTAATAACCACGTAATATTGAGTAAATTGGCGCTAGTGTACCAAACCAAGAGTATGAAACGTCACAATAGCAACAATAATCAATCAACATGATTGCGATTATTCAAGAGTAAGCATGCTGTTCTCTGAAAAACGACGCCCACTTTTGGATTAAAAAACTGTGTAATAAAATAATGTTATTATAAATTAAGTCTTTGAACGACTATAAATGGCATATGAATAAATAAATAATGGAGTATCTTAAACAACGATGTTTAAACAGAGACAATACAGATGTTTTCCTACATTGACCTGCTGAGCGATTCCGTAAAAATCCGAATACGAAATATCCGGAGAGCTCAACATCTATATAACAGTGTTTTTTGTACACATTTACAATGTATAAACATGAAAATGCGACAATTTGTACCTGAATTCGTAATGTTATCTCGCCTTCACGATTGTTTACTTTAACTCAATGTTTTATTAACACACGGCATATCTATGAAATTACAAAAGAATGTGTTTTTACGACTCTTTGGTATTCGAGTCCATTTAATATCGTGCAAAAATAATCTCGTACTCTTAACGCACATTACATGTGTCACAAAATTGTTACAAACTTTTAATGCTACGTATATTTTAAATGTTGACAGTCTCCACCTGCCGTTGATAGGTTAAGATGTTATATTGTCATAGAATAAGCAATATACAGATATTAATATTAACATATTGAGAAACTCGATGGTGCAGTTGTTAGCGCGCTCGGTCTGCGATTTGTTATTAAGCAACTTTTGTAAGGCCGGCCCACAGGATGGGTGACCAAAAATTTATTAACTCAAGCATCTCCGTACTTTGGAAGGCACGTCCAGCCGTTGGTCCCGACTGTATCTGCATTCGTAACACCCACCATTCCGCACTGGGCACTATTTGATTTGAGTCAATTTCAATCATAGGAAAGGTCTGAGCCCTACCAGTGTAGATAATATTAGGCTGTTGATGATGATAATGATAATAAAAAAAATGTTTCTTAAGTTAAATAAAAGCTTGTCATGTTATATTTTAATTTTGGTCTGTTTTAACGTTATTCCTGTATACTATTTATAATATAATTAAGTTTAATATAAAACGTTAGATATTTGAATAATAATAAAATTAAAAATTTACTTAAAAGAAAGATCATAATTTTTTTTAAACAAGACATTCCGAAAATATTTTATCTACCAGGCAATAGACCAGTCATTTAGTTAAGGTAGAAATTAATGTAGGTTATCATATTACACTGCTTCGTTTATGATTTCTCATATAACTATCTTTATTGATTCACCATCGTAAGATAGAGAAAGTTTAATGATAATACTCAATAGGGATGTAATCGTTCAGCTTGGATTAAATAATGTTTATATAAAATATATATAGGTCATGTTTATCTGATACGCAAAATTGATAAAGGGATATATCGAATAGTTTTTTACTGGCAAACTACCGTTTGCGGAGTGTAAGAATTAATATATAGTTTTTTCTTCATGAAGACCGAAATGAATAAGACGACAGTCTTTTTCATTTTCACCATTTCATTGGTAAGTACTTATTTCTCTTATATTAAAATATTTATTGTTATCGCTTTCGGTCTACGATGCGAAAATTAAGCAACTTTCGTAAGGGCCAATCATTGGATGGGTGACCAAAAATGTATTACTTCATGCTCCTTCGTGGTTTGAACGGCACACTAAATCTTCAGTCTCGGCTGCAGTCGAAAATAATTTACGCACTGTTGTTCTCCTTTTATAGGGAAGGCCTGTGCTGCCAGCAGTACATTAATGGGCTTATTATAACGATGAAACATCTATATCAAAATACAACGAATTCGATCCATACGAGTGCCATACCATAGCTAGGCATATATTTATGAAAAAAAACCATGTCATTGAACACGTGTAAATTATTGTAAATGAGTATGATGTCTAGACATTCAATTTTAATCTATTGTGGTCACCTATCTTTGATTGTGAAAATTTGTATATTTAGGTCGCTTGAACGTTATTCGTAATAGTATCATTTTGTCATTGATCTTTTTGAACTGTTAATTAAAAATTAAACGAGCACATTCCAGTTTTTATTTGTATAATAAGTAATATCGTCTGTATTGAATTTGAGAAACATTTTATAGTTTTACTAGAAGTATGTAATTAATGAGAAAATATCACAATTTTAAAGGAAGTCGTATTACGACTCCACTGCAGGGGTCAGTCCTTCATTTGGATGGTTAAGAATGATGGGTCATGAGCCTCCACCATAGTATAACCAGATGAGTAGGAGAGATAATAGCCTAAACTTTTAGGGCTGTCGCATATAGCATATAAATATTATTCAATTGTCAGAAATGCATGGACAATCAATCTCTATAAAATATCGTTTCTTCCTGTATGTTAAGCATCCGGGAACTATAATAAAACGTTTTTAATGTTTTTTTTTTATGTATATAGACTAGGAGCTGACTACATTTTTTTCATACCTAAGTCATATCAACTATTTATTGTGGAAAATTAAATCGTGGTTTTAATGATAATTTTTTTTCATACCTACGTCATATCATCTATTTAATGTTCTGGAAAATTAAATCGTGATTTTAATGATAATGATAATAATAATAACATAGTAGAATAAGGAACGTTATTTGCTACCTGGAGGTGGGCGCTAATGGTTGCACTTTAGATTTCTTTTTTAAACTACCGCGACTATGATCGTACACCAAACTTTTGTAAAACTATTTGTTCCAATAAACACATTTTTAATTTTATTTATTTTATTTAATGAGTTATGTATTTTTTTTTCTTCTAATAAGCAGACTCGCTTTAAATTATATCCAAAAAAATTGTTTTAAATGTAATTTTGAACAAAATTACATATTTTTTATGGGTAATGTAAAGAAAAACGCATCTGCATTTGATAAACTGTTATTGAGACATTCATATACACAACAATATTTTCGTTTCGTTTTCAAAGTCATCTTGTTACGAGCGGCAATACAGCGAGAACGCATACGGGCGTTCTCAAATACAAACCATTTTCGGTGCATATGGATGAAGAAAACTTACTCTTTGTACTCAGCCTCCACGCGGGCCCAATGCGGGTTGGAGGGTATTAACGACTGCAGATGCAGCCAGGACCAACAGCTTAACATGCCTTCCGAAACACGGAGTAGCTAGGGATAATATTTTTGGTCACCCATCTCGTAACCGACCCTTGCGGAAGTCGCTTAACAACAACGACCGCGGAACGGCGCTTATTCTGTACGTCATCGACCTACTGATTAATAGTGAATCATAATTAGACTATCTAAAAATTAAAATGATGTTATCGAAAGTCTTATGTAAAACGTGTGATTTTTTTATTAATATAGTTCGTTTGTTTACCGTAGAGACTGACATTGAAATTGTTAGTTCATTTTACGGCCAGGAAATCAACGGCGTCGCGAAATACCTCGACGTCGGTTATAAAACTTTGGTCAATGACGTTCCTAGCCACTTGGTAGGTATGTTTGAAGATAGTCTCTCAACTATGTCAAACTTCTGTGGCGCCATATGTTTATTTTAGCTAAAGGATATCACGTATACTCCACGCAAACTTCCAAATTGAATAACCACGATGAACTTATTCGCCTGTCAGTTATTTGTAGTAAATAAATTGTTTCAGAACAACTCGATATAAAACCTTTAAGACTAAATTTTCTTATTTGATTCGATGAATATTGTTGCTGGTGAGTATGGATGATTATACTCTATATCTATGCGTAAGTTTGAACTTAAAAACATAATGCGTAAATTATAAGCAGCTATGTATGATGTAGCTTCCCCTAGGTAAAAGAATTTTCATAATCCAAACAGTATTTTCGAAGATTACCCCCTGCAAATAAAGTCAAGTTACAAACTATACCTCTTTATAGCATTAGTATAAATCCATACTACCAATCTTTAAAAATCGACTATCTGAATGATTCTCAAGGTCACAATAGATGAATATCAATGGAGGATCGCTATCGCAAATACCGGTCGTAATAGTAAATCTATCGTGTCGTATATCTTATGTTTATTCGTGGTAGTAATTTAATTTGTCATTATAATTATGGCGCTATCTCGGTTTCTTTATGTTAATATTCTCGGTATGTAACACTTATTTAATTTGAATAAGGTATTATTCTGTTGCACGATAAATACGAGACGACCTAGTTGCCCGTTTACGGTGCACATGAATGTGTTTGCATAGTCGCTTCGTCGCACTTCCTAGCCACCTTTGTTTCAATACAGCAACGGCTGAATAACTAATTTAGAATCTTGCTCATTTGATACAGTTGTTAATTCCTCGTGAATTATTACAGCTCTATTAATTTCGTGATCGATTCATTACCAATTAGAATCTCTTCGATGTTTGCACATCTCTATGGTGTTTAAATAAATTACTAACATTATTATACCCATTCCGATTAATGATCGATTATTTATCAGAAGTGATATCAAACAGATAACTAAATTTAACTTCAGTCTCATCCGTTGTCACTCAGATAAGAACCAGAATCCCTTTGGGAACATATATGCTGCTGTCGTGATTCGTCGGGAATTCACTCGTTTACCATTTTAAGTATTTATAAACCTTGTATACACTCTGGATCAGCGAAGGCAAAATTAAACCGAGAATAATGCCGCCGCTCCCCCGAGTTGGTAAATATATAATTTCTATCCGGCGTACCTCATCGTGTATGATAATGAAAAGTCAACGACTTACTTACTATAATAAATGCAACCAAGTTGCAATTTATAGTAGTTACATACTTTATAATGTAACTGTTTTATTATTGCTCTCATTACACTGCAAAAGCAGCTTATTGGATATGAAAGACTCAATTTTAATTGTTATTAATTAAAGCATTAGATATTCTATGCGAGTTTTATAATGAAGCTAAGGTAAGATCACATGAGACGACTCCAGATAATTTACATATCCTTTATGATATTTCAACATATTGTCCTATTTCTCTATTTATGCACTAAATTGCATACCCTAAATGTTTCGGCCTTGTCCATGCTTGAGCTTCGAACCATAAATGACAAACAATTGAAAGTAATCAAGTAATGTATCTGCAATACTTTGTTGTACGGAGTGTATAGAACAGATTGCATCTTACAATTTATAGTTCGCTCGACATAACTGTGTTACCATAAAATTAAGTTTTATTGTGACAATGAATAACAGACTCACCTTGCTGGTGTGATAACCTCAAGAAAAATTAGGACAAAAACAGTTTTTAGCAAATACACTGGTATGTGTGACTGTAAACATTTAATTTTAAATCTTGATGAAAAGAAAACAAGGACGTTATAATATTGTGATTACTGTTTAGTATGATTTTCTTAATAGAAACGCCATTGACATACGTTTATACGTGAACATGAGCAGAATCAAAACCCAGATTACCTTATGTAGACTGAAAAATATAGTACATGGAAAATAAGTTAAAATTCAACAGATCTCCACTAAACTAAACTAAGCATATAAGTTTTTACTTTTGTGTTCGTTGAACATCGTTGAACTTGTATTTTAATATTCATAATGCTACATAAATTTTATTTTATAGTTTAATTTCAGACGTAAACGTCATCATATTTCTCGTTAATGTTTATGTTTAATTTAGACATTATTCTAAATTATATTCTTAATGATTAATATTACATTCTATCTAAATGTTAATGAGATTTTTTATATTAATTGGGTAAATTTTAACAGCTCCTGATTTTTAACCTCTAAATATATTTGTAATAGGCACGACACCTATTGATATTGATTGATGCATATAAAGAATGTATCTATTATGTAAACACTCTAAACATTTAATTGAATAACATTCCTTCCAATAATTTACGAAGCATTAATTAAAAATAAGGAAATCAAAGCTGGGCACTTGAATGGAGTGTCAGAGACTGAGTAATCTGACTCAAATTGAGGCGAAAGAATTTTTATTACTCACCACGCGGTCAAGTCGAAGCTACATAAAAACAAACTGACAATAGTCATATTTTATATATTTAACTAGTGGACTGGATTCGGTCGGGCCAAACAATAATGAGTGGGTTTTTATGGGGGCGGCTAATGCTACTGGTTGTTACTTAAACGTTTCAAATTCATTAAGTGGTTATGTTGCTTCATACTGTTTTACTGTCAACGATAACTTTCTATATAATGTGATAAAACAAACTTTATTTAAAACATGTTATTTCGGTAATTTTGTTTTGTTTTCTGTCAGTGAAACAAAAATACTTCCAATATATCCCAGAAAGCATTAATGATAAATTGTTGTAATATTATTAATTTTTATATATGAGACGATGTTCTTTTAATGTTTGCAACTTCTATATGCTTCAGAATGCACGAGGAATTGTCAGTCTCATTGTAACTAAAGTCGTTGCTCGCTCAATCATCTTTGAATCGCATGATGAAAGCCTCTACTCCGACAGTGCCAAGAATGTTAGTTTGATTACAAAAAATATTGCTATGGTGTAACTTAACAAAAATATTTTTGCAGTCAGTCGAACTGTTTTAACGCCTTTTGATTTAAGCGCAGCTATCGCGCGGTAGGTAGCCATAAAACTGATATTAGTGACCATTAATGTTTCAAGTGCATTAGTGTCACATTAAAAGTTACGAAATGCCTCTATATCGGCAACGTGCATCCAGAGATTAAAAGATTTTACATCATGAAAAATCGTTTCCTTTGCAAACACAAAAGAAAATGCATCTTGAATTTATGATGTTGTAGACGATTGTAAAATTACACATCAAAATGAATGGAATGGTCGTAAAGGTTGAAATAGAAGTTTAATGTTTCTACCGTGACGACCGGAAAATGTTATATTTCCCAGTAATTATTGGTAAAGTGGTCATGAAATCGATTGAGATGTTCAATTAGTTTAGAGTTGTTAATAATTTGATATGCTGGTATCACCGTTTCAATAAGAAGGGCTTCCGAAAGGAATCATTGTAATTGATGTTATTCACTTTTCATGTTAGAAATACCGATTACATTTGTATAATACACTTGGTTTATTATTAATTTTAATATATTTTCTTTAATGGTGTATAATATTGTTACGAAATTTTACAAACACCTTAAAATTTTCGCACAAATGTTGATAAAAGCAGATGAAGATGAAAGAAATTATATTAAATGAAAGATAAAATCGAATAAGATATGTAAAGTTGACTTGCAAATCGTTCTCCTTTAATTTACTAGATAGGCGACTTAGGGAATGAGCGCGAAATCATAGAGTCTAGAAACTGACAAGTTAATCCCGATGATGCGCACCGTACTCAAACGCAAGTCGACCCCTTTGCCGGGGGAATTTGCGTGACTGACTAGCTGCCGTACTAAATGAACCAGTAAATCGCTGGATAGATCTTTAATGAAAATTAAATGTACGATGACTTTATGCTGGTATAAATAGTTTTGAAATTAAGGTGAATTTGTTACCTTTAATAAGTGACGTATTATAGCAAATATTATTGATCAATTTTGAAATGTTAATATTTAAACTTATCTTCTCGTTCCATTTCTGTGACCTGGGACTGATAACTTTTTCAAAGAATTTCTCTTGTTTTTGCAAGTAGCAAATTTCCCAAATTTGTTTGTAAATTACAGTTCTTCAAAATATATTCATATACTAAAGTTTGATTGTTTTCAATAAATCGGTGTTTAGGTAAATCTTAATTTCGTTATTAAAGTGGCTCAATTTTAACAGGTGCTAATAAAGTATCAAATTGATTGCCGGTGCATACACGTGTATGTTTGATATGTGATAAAAGTAGTTTTTGTGAGCGACTTATTTTCCATCCTTGTTTGTGTCTTTGACATATTGACGGTTGTCAATTATACATGATCATATTATATGACAACGTTTCATAAAGTGGAGAAACCTCTCTATGAAACTAATGTAAATCACTTGGGTCTTGTCAAAAAATATATAAATATTTTTATTTTCGTTATGGAACATAATCTTGCAATATAAAACTAATATGTCTGAAATCTAAAGGCGGAGGTACCGTAATCTCCACAGAGATAACCCAGACAATAAAGAAATGTTCGTCTATGTCGACTTGACTGGGAATTCAATCTAGGACATCAGAGATGGCGACACCCAAAAAGATACTCCATTACAGAGGTTAATGATTTTTGCACATAAAATTTTAAAAACGAATCAAAGACAAATGATTACCGCACCCTCTTTTGAAAATGAAGTCTGTTAATAAATAGAAGGGTTTTGTGAACTCGAAACTTTAGAAACCGCTGATGTATAACATTATTTAATCACAGGTGGTGGGTCGTGAAGGAGTGCTAGCTTCGTCGGCCTCACGCGAACTGCGATGCGGACGAAGACTGGTGTCAGGCTTGTTTTCGAGACCACGACTGCCTTTAGGCTATTCACACGTGGCTACGGTACCACGCGGTGCGTGTCGCCTCAACGTCTCGGAAATTGTCACAAGTGACAATTACATTGGTTAGTATTGCATTTAAAAAAATCGTAAAAATAACATGTTATTGCCAGTTCATATGGTCATTTAGTTATTATCCATTAATATTCTAAAACAAAGTCGCTTCCCACTGTCTGTACGTTGAGATCTGTTAAACTATCCAACGGATTTTAAACAACAGACGCAGTGGTTCAAAAAAAGGTTTATATTTGTAATACAGGACCACGCGAGCATAGCCGCTGGTGAAAAGCTAGTGAATAATAAAAGGTTCTTAATGAAAATGCTTAAAATTCACTTTGTTCCTGGTACTTTTTTAAGCAATTTCCATTGAGAATGTTTTTCAGTATATCATTATGAATGCAAAAATTGATCAAATACAATAAGAATGGTTGTTAATATTATCCGCTCGACTTCAATAGAAGCTTTTTTTTTTCATTTATTTTGGTATCAAACAGTCATTTACATAACAAAGTGTGTATGATTAAATGTGCTTTAAATTACAGACCAATAATACCTAAAAGTTACTTATTTTGAATTAAATAAACATGAGAATGTACATGATAAGACACGCATACATATAAAACAAAAACATTCGGCAAAAGAATGATTTTGTATAATTATATACTTACATTGTTCTTAAGCAAATTATCTAATTACATAGTATATCTTTTGACTTTGTCATCGATACAGAAATTGACAAATTATAGAGATCAAGCTCGAAGAATTCTTTATTATAAATGTTGGTGGAACGATAAAAGTAAAAAGTTTTATGGACATGTCAACCTCTTTTGTACAAGTATTATTTTTTTGAAGTCCGTTTTTTAATTTATTTATTGATAAATTTAATTGTTTATTATTATAAGTGTACGGCTAAATCAAGTTGTCATCTTTATATACTAAAATATTGAAAATGAGCTGACTTTTAACAATAATGTTAGGCATTTACAAGCATACCAAACGTTCTTGATTATTATTTAAAAGAATGATATTGACATAGAAAAGCAAAATACGCGATCTTTTGTGTTCTTAGGTGCCATTTATGTTATCCAATTATTGTTTTTATTGCGGAACACTTAAGGTCTTTTGATATAAAAAAGAAAAATTGCTAGGTAATTCGATTACAATAGAATTTGTTCACCTAACGCAGAGACACCGGTAAATATATATAAAAGATATACCCTTCCATCTCAGAATTTAAACAGACTGCAAAATCTTCCTTTTCGATTATAAAGTTGGTTAAAAATGATTTAAAATTAGAATGAAACCATTATAAGTACACATGCAAAAATACACTAAATATTTAGCTTGACCTACACATTCGTTATTTTCAAAACAACAGACAGTCAAATATTTAACTTGTGAATAATTGATGGGCAAAACCTTATAAAGCTTACATTTCCAGAAATATTTTTTTACCATTTCATTACCATTACTATGAAATGTAATATGCTAAAGTAATATAAGGCTGAAAGTTTAAAAATAACAGAAAATGTGTATTTGTTATGAAATGAATATAATCAAAGATGTGTCACACTTTTCCTATCTGATGAAAACTCGACAAATAGAATTCCATTATCTGCCTGAGTATGAACATCGTAACAAATATAATTATTTGCAATATACATACATGCCAACGTTATAACACGGTAGCCAAATAGTCCTTGTGCCAAATCTCTGATGAATAATTATGTCAATATCGATGCCTATTGATGACGGCATGATATAAATCGAACAATACTAGGTCACAAAGAACGATATTAATCGAGAAATGAAGTGTTCACTAGTGCAAAGATCGATGTCGAATCGATTAATCGAAATTGCACACACGACTCACTCGCTGATCTGGCGCATCTCTTCAATAGAGACGCCTACGCTGCAATAATTTCAAGTTAATTGGAACCAGTCGGCTTCACAATTGTCGGTTTTAATTACTTCTATGACGCACACGAGTAACATGGTAGTACACATATCTTAGTATTGATGCAGTTCATTTCTACAGATTAACCTAATATCACATCTCGTTCTGTTTTTATATAAACTTTCGATTGTGCAATATTATTAATATTTATTTGATAACATTATACCATAAAATAAAAATTATCCACTTTAATTTCTGTTGCATTCATAGAGATATTGTGTTTTTATTTCAGCGTTAAAAGTTACAAATGGTTCATACATAATGAACGGGGAATTCGCCGTCAGTGCTCCTGGGACTTATGAAGCGGCTGGGGCCCGTTTTTTATATACGCGGAATGCGGGTCTAGATAACGTATTCGCACTTGGACCAATACAACATCCAATCGATATAATGGTAGTACATTCAACCTACGTACTAATAATTTTATGCCCTGATTTATAATAAATAGCTCTATTCTTTTGCAGATATTGTATACGCAACCGAATCCGAACATAAAATACGAGTTTCTAACTGACACAGATGTTGAGGAAAGTAACGATATACCTTTAAGCAATCAACAGCATCACACTATGACGCGACACCATCGACACCATAATGCTGAGTTGCATAAAAAGGATCTCCAACATTCAAAATTGGATACTTCACCGACGAAGCGTCCAGATTTTAAAACACTGGAGAGCCAGTCGCAGATAGAAAGTAATGTGATAGGAGAAAGGAAATTTGTATGGAAGATATTAGCATTTTCGCAATGCTCTAGGAGTTGTGGTGGTGGACTTCAAATAGGAAAGTTCAAATGTGTGGAAATATCTGGGAAAGGGGAGAAAGAAGTATCATCAGCGTATTGTTCTGGATCACCTCCTCCGACTCGTCGGCGGAGATGTGGAGGTGCTCCGTGCCCTCCTAGATGGAGAGCGGCGGCTTGGGGACCCTGTCCTGTTTGTGGACCTGCACAGAGAACAAGGATCGTTGGCTGCGTCCAAGATCACGCCAGAGGAATAACGAAGGTATTGCCATTTAAGACTTTTCTTTATATTATTACCTTTGTAAACTGATATTGTAATTAAATTTCTTTCCTATTTCAGATAAGTGATCAGAAGTGTCCCCTCCCAATGCCTGCTAGCAGTGAACCGTGCAATATACCTAATTGTGATGGTTCAACAGTAGCGGAAGACTCTCCCAGGCTAGATACCAGACGACAAGTCCGGCCCAAAGAACGTACGGATGCATTTCACGATGGTCCTGTCATATCTTTGGCCAATAATTTCACGGATAATGAATTGGCACCAGCTATGACACCCAGCTACAATTTCAATGCAGCTGGTGGGTGGTTGTACACGGAATGGTCTGAGGTGAGATAGAATGAAACGTTTCATTTCCTTAATAATTACATATTTTAGAAATACGAAAAAAAAACCATACTTATATCTTTTAGTTTTTCATCTTTAAGATCAACCTTTCGATTATGAATTTATTAAATTATCCTAATTTATTCTTGTATATATGTTACGCTCAAAGATCGAAAACGCTCAGTGAGCGGAAAAATAGCTCACAACGCGTTGTGGTCACAGTAAAACATCCACATGGCGAAATTCGTGTTATGGCTCTAATGAAAACGCGCACGACGCGTTGTGGCAATCACAGAAAGACCAAATAGCGAAATTCATGTCGTGGCTGACATGCTATTCGATCTCAACGCGTTGTGGCAATGAAGAAAAGCCATGATGCGTTCTGAGCATTCATTGTTTTAACCATATCACGACGGACAGGTTGTAATGAACTTCGTCGTTAACACTCCGCTCAGCATCTATGTTATCATCTGGAACTAAGCAAGGGTTTATAATGTGCCACTGCAAAAGATACTGTATTGATAAAAAGTGCAAGTGTCGCTCCAAGAATATAAAATGCAACTCCAAATGCCACAGTAATAGTTCCTGTAAAAATAAATAGCAATCAAATACTTATTTTAAGTACATTATTGTTGTTTATTGGTGGACAATAAACATTTATGTTTGTGTTAAATATTTTTATTACTTGATAGAATTTAAATTGTCATAAAAAAATTAAAATCCCTAATTATTTTAAGTGAATTGTAAGAAATTTCCAAATAATTAACATTTCGTGTTCAGTAATTTATTACTTAATATTAATACGTTGTTTTTTTTTAATATAAAGTAATCTCAATAAACAACAAATATTGTTTTATTTTAATTTATATAATATATTTCATAATAACAAACACGTTATGCAGTGACTTTATAAAATAAAAAATTTCCTAAGGACATCTACCAAAACGTTTCCAGCCTAGGCCTAGTAGGATCCATATCGGAAAGTAGTGTGCGTCGTAATCAAATAATTTTCCATACGCGTGATGGCTTTTCTTCATTGCCACAACGCGTTGAGATCGAATAGCATGTCAGCCACGACACGAATTTCGCTATTTGGTCTTTCTGTGATTGCCACAACGCGTCGTGCGCGTTTTCATTAGAGCCATAACACGAATTTCGCCATGTGGATGTTTTACTGTGACCACAACGCGTTGTGAGCTATTTTTCCGCTCACTGAGCGTTTTCGATCTTTGAGCGTAACATATACATCTAGTTACAAATCATCTCTCATCAATAGTACTTATACCTTTCTAGAATTAGATAAGTTTCATCTTACAAGGAATAATTATATGTTACCATAGTAACATCAGAACGGTACGTAACTACGATATTATAAAGTTACGTGTCTCGTTATAACGTTTCATTAAATTCCTATTTTAAAGTTATCTTTCTGCAGTGTGTGGGCTGGTGTTTTGGAGGTGGGGTGCAGTCGCGAGGGGTCCGCTGCGCTGAGCCATCAGGTTGCGCATCACGCGCGCCTATATCCACGCAGTCTTGCACGCCACGAAAGCAGTGCGACGCACAATGGTTCACTAGTAAGTATTTTAAAATGACAACGCATAACAACAAATACAAGCGACGATAACCAATGGCCACTCAGATCTTTAAGATATTTCCAATTTGACCTCATTAAAAGACCCCTTTTTCGTTCTCAGAAATAATAAATTCCGACAATACACACGCACAATGCACTTTACTAAATTAATATAAAATCTGTTTTAAAGAATGTTATTAATTTTTATCTTTAAAAAGTTAGTATACAAAAACGTTAAGTATTATGAACAATCATTATTATTACATACAGAAAGCGTAGAAACCAAATAATAAGCAAAGTTGTTTTATAACTTCAATGTACTGTTATACACCGGCACAAGTCGTAACAAATAGTTATGAAGTACATACAGAAATTATTAGCATCTTGTAAAGCATTAACAAAATTGCTACTTTTTAGTTATACAATTATACATGATATAAACAGGATATAGCTGTCATAAAATTATTATAGTTAATTACTCGATAACGTCAATTTATCACAAATGATAGACAGACTTTAAAAATGTATATGAACAAGAAAATATTATAAAATGGTAATAAATGCCTGTTACCTGCGCCATGAATATGCACATACTAGAAATTATTACATGGTAAGCACCTGAGATAATCACCAAATCGTTAAAACAACCAATGTAATATTAAACACAATTGCACATAGGTGTTTATAGCTATTTTCAGATGTGGTGTTTTTGAATTTGCTTTTGTAACTATTGGCGACCATAGACTGGCAAGATTTCAAAATTGTCTCAAAAATATACATTCACCAGTCCCAGACACTCTGAGATGGGACTCGAGTCCACAACCTTTAGCAATCCAGGCAACTGTTCTAACTATTGAGCTACCCGAGACACGATAGGATTGAAGAATTTTTCTAACAGTTTTTAATTGTAGATATTTATCAATGTAGCATTATGAATGCAAAATTCTTGGTTTAAACCTTAATGTTTAAATTATCAATAAAAATAATCCATCTATTCTATTTCTTCAGGTGAATGGTCACCGTGCTCAGCATCTTGCGACGGTAGACAAGTTCGTGGGGTTATATGTGTAGGAGGTAATGGTAGAAGACTAAGAGACAATTCTTGTCGATCATCAAAGCCGGAAACAGAGAGATCTTGCGGAGGATCTTGCGCTCCATCGTGGTATTTGAGCGACTGGAGTCAGGTTAGTACTACATGAAAAATTTTGCCTTAGCCTGTCTATACCTTCATCAGTTGCGAGGTAGACAGAAGAAAGAGGGCAATTAGGGCAATCCTGTTATATTAGCAGCTTAACAATGTGTTAATATGATAGGTGGAAGCGATTTTTATTACCTTTTGACTTGTTCAAATCTGACGGGAGGTCCGTCAAGCGTATCACGGTAGCATGCGTTAGTTAACGAAAAATCATTCACCGAATATACAAGATTGAATGTTATTTGTCAGTTCTAACGTTCCATGGCTGACCTTATATCCTATATGCACTGGCACCGACAGGCACGACAGAAGAAGAAGGAAGTCGAAATAAGCGGATTGCTAAATGGGCTAGTAGCAAATCAGTTACCACGAAAATTAATCAAAATGAGAAATAGACTCTTTGATAAGTAGACCCCTGGCACCAAAGCGATTCAGTGACTGATTGGGGTGTATTTTGTAGTGTGAAGGTCCCTGTGAAGCTGGTATACAATCACGGACAGTATGGTGTGCTCGGGGAGGTGAAGCGGGTGCGGGGGGAGCGGCACGGGATAATGAATGTCCCGGTGTGAGGCCTCCAGCTAAACGCACCTGTGTACCTCCACGGTGCTCCACTAAGCCAATAGTCAAACCTGCTGCTATTCCACCGTCTGGTGAGTATTCGAATATTAGATACTGATAATTTCTAAGAATATAGCCGACAAATTTGTACTCCCGTTTCAAGGTGTCGCCATACCTGAGGACCGATTCCGAGGTCGAGTCAATGTAAAATATGAACTTTTCTCTATTGTATGTTGTATGTATTTTATCGGGTCCGAATTGTGGTACCTTCGTTATTTGAAATTCTCCCTAATACGATGTCTTGAGCTAAACTCATCTTGGAATTTGAGAAATGTATGTGAAGTTTACACTTGATGTCATAATAGCCTTCGATGTCCTATAATTTGTCTGATGATCGATCAATTCTTGTTTTCGTAAAAAAAATAAAAAAGTAACAATCGTACTAATTATGAAAGACAAGAATTCGGATTCTAACTTAGAAATAAATATCGTCAGGGTATTCCGACAATTATAAGTACCTTTAATTACTTATTTATAAACATCAGCATTATTTTTACAGGATCTGACCCACAGCAGCGAGTCACGAGACACCAAAGCCATAATACTCTAAATAGCAGAGAAAGAACTCCAAATGGTGAGAGTTATATTTTTTCTAACAGTAGTGAAATTATACTGCGTAAGTCATAAGGCTTACGCAGTACAATTTCAAACTATCATTATAAACGTTCGGGACGGGTATTGAATGCTAGATACTCGAGAAACGGGAATAGCTAAACCGCGATACCATAGAGCAAATTTTACTCTTGTCCTGAGTCTCGACCCTCTCGGGTGATTTCGACTCTCTAGAGTTCGTCATACATTGTAGATCTTTTAAAATATAAGGTAAAAATTCAATGTTACCAAAAATTAAACAGTATAGTTAAGTAATTATTCACTAGACTTTGATAACACGTTCTAGTTATATATCTATCCCTGTCTAACCTTTTAAATAAAAATTAAAGTTTCACATTTGGCTGCATTTGTAGTCACTAACACTTATAAATCAGTATCGTATCCATGAAGTAGCTTAGGGGCCGTCCATTAATTACGTGATGTTTTTTTTTCAACATTTATTGACAACCTTGGTGATACACGGTGAGGTTTAAGACTACTCCTCCCCCTTTACCCAAATTACGTGTATTTTTATAACCAACAAAAAAAAATATTTTTGACGTCGCTTTTCGGTATCATAATCGCGCGTCGCGGAAAAGTAAATATAAATAAATACACGTGATATATTTACTACACCCCCACCCCTCTTGTGAGCCCCTGAGCCTCACGTATATTGAAAGACCTAGCATTGGTGATTTTAATAATTAAGGCTGATGATAATAAAGACATTTTTTGTGTTTAGGGAGGGATTTGAAAATAGTTGAATATTTACCCAAAAAAAAAACGAATACATCTACACATCAGTGGAAGATTACAATCATTAATAGATGTCACAGTTGCCAATCGCAACATGTTCATTAATAAAAATCTCCTACAGGATCTTGCATAGATAAGCTAAATAACTGCGTGCTGGCGGTTCAGGCGAGGCTGTGCCACTACGCATACTACGCTGAATATTGCTGCCGCGCATGCCATGGCAGAGCATAAGGTATTCCCAATAAAGATAATACTGCCGTTCTTAAAGTGTGCAATAACTTAGTTTAGAATAATTTCGATCTAGTCGCGATTAAAATTTTAATTTTCGTTTTGTGGACTCGAGAGGAGCTCAATGGCGCAGTGGAGTGGCTAGCGAGCTCGGTCTAGGATACGGTTGTTAAGCAACTATCGCAATGGCCGATCTTAGGATGGGTGACCAAAAAAATTATCTTGCATACTCGGAAGGCACGTTCACCCTATTCGATGAGATTGGATCCATAGGGAAAGCCTGCATATCAGCAGTGGGGAGATTAATCGGCTGGTTATGATGTATCTTTGACAATCAAAAGAAACATTCAATACAAAAAAAAATGATAAAAATATAGAGGTCATTTTTCTGATCACGAATATGTACACAAGGAGGCACGTCTAATTATATGTACATTATGGACTTTGTACTGAACACGTTTCGTATAGAACTTCCCTATTAACAGAGGTCTGCTTAAGGTGGCGGTGTGTAGTGAGACGTACAGCCGTGTGTACAGAAGTCAGTTGGCCTATTTCGAGTTATTTCACATATCGTAAGAACGGCAGAATAGGGATGACGACTAGGTAAAAAAAATGCAATTCTATTTAGTTCGTCAGTCAGATAATAGAAATACGTAATATTAAATACGTATTGTTTTTTTAATTCAATTTAACAAGAAATAGCTTAGATAACAGGCATTAAAGTTGAGGAGTGGGGACTCGTTACATCACAGTTTAGTAGAAAACGTACCCTAACGTGACGTCATGCAAAATTTCAACTCCATGTAACGCCGTAATTTTATGATATTAAAAAAAATAATTAAATACTTTGTTAAATTTGTCGTCATCCCTATAGCAGTCTATGAAATTCAAAGGCTTGATGAATGAATGGGTACAGTTTCAACATAGTGCCAGTGCGCTATACTGCTCTTTAGCAGCTGACGTCCAAATCAAAGTAAACCCATTTATTAATACACTTATCACAGACAATCCCTCACCACTAAAAGTTTCCGTTCAATATATTTCCCAGACATTTAATGAAACACATTTATATTTTAACTATGTATACATACGGAGTCAGAAACTGTTCACAAAGAAAATATGTTGACTTTTGCGCATGCATTATGTATACACTATGGAATGATTCAGGTTTTTTATAACTATTTATATCATATATCATTAAACACCATGAAATCAGGTATTCGTTAGTTGCGTGCATCGAATCTTATTATATGCATACATATGAAACAAAGCACGCGTAACAGTTAGATAATACCTTAATGCCTAAGCCATAATTAGACGTCCAATCTGGCATCAATAATAATCCATGACAATGTTCAGTTGGTCATATATCAATATGTAGTATCTCCTTCAGGAGTCACAGATTGAATTGATGTATAATAACAATATTATGTAATCTTATAAAATTTAATTAAAGCGAGATACAGTTACCTAGTTAACGAATGACTGATATTTTAACTCTCATTTTATCAAAACTCTTACTAACAACAGTATGTGTGGATAAGATTAAAAAGGAAAATAAATAATCTAAATTAATATTTCCCTTACAGATGCCACATCACTGAGGCGATGAAAACCGTATTGTGAATTTGTGATACAAATGGACTCATAGTGAGAAAACGTAATCTACAAAAATGAAAATAACATTAGCGCAGTTTCCATACCAGATTTTTTGGAAATAGACTAAGGCAATTTAACGTTCATAAAATTTGTAGAATTTTCCTTTCCGTAAACAAGTAAGATATATGCCAAAAGGGTGAACAGATGAAAACTATAATTATGTACTTATTAGGGCTATAGGTATATGAAGTATAAAGAAACAATTGTTTAATTTGGAATTAAAGAAGAAAAAATATTTTAGAAGCTGGCAAGTTCTCATATTATTTACAAGCTACATTAACAACGATTTGATGTTACAATATATTTAATCTTTAAAGAAATATAACATAAAAAATGCATGTGTAATTTTACGTAAACAATTAGCATTCGCCACATTACCATCCTGTCTCTTTTAGATATTTTACTCAATTTCTATACAAATAGAAATGTTCTTATCAAAAATAATGTATCTTTAATAACAAATGTATTAAAGCTAGATAGCTTATTATCAAACTAGTTACTCGATAAGCTATTTTTCAAATTATTTTAATTGACATTTTTTATTTATAATTTTCATTTTGTTTCCAAGGAAATGTGATTTGATACTGTCAAACTTTTTAAAAGGTAATAGGGGTGTAGACAACTATTTTTATAGATATACACGAAATTTTAAAATAAATTTAGCTTTCAAAATTTCCCGCGAAAATAGCAACTTCTGTCATGGCGTCGCTATAACGTAATGAACCTCTGAAACTAATATCGTTCTATGTATGCATAAGATTGAATTCTCTAAGTTCTGATATGAGTAAGAGGGGCGTGACGTCACACGCTGTTTGCGTTCATATGACAATAAAAACCTATACCACAATATTTGTTTTGTCATAATTAATTTAAACTATATAAATATAATAAGCATATAAGTGTGATTTTCGATAATAGTATATAAAACACTATCAGAAAACAAAATAATATGTATTTTTCTTTTACTGTCTACACCCGTATTGCTATATTTACAAATAAAATCCCTTTCCTGAATATCATCAAAGAAGTGTCTTTTGATTTTATGGAAACTGTTTGTAATGTTGTTAAAATAGCACGGTTTGTAGAGTGTGATGCCGCTCTTACGTCATTGTTGACAGGAAGTCTTTAATATTGATAGGGTTATCGATACTAATTTATTAGATATCCCACTTTATCGATTTCCTGATTTTCAAGGTTTACTATTGATAGTGTAACCAATATTTCGGCATTACTAGTATTAAGAATTAGTATTGTGATCTCCCGGCTTTAGTCGAGTCGAGTCGATCTGTGGATTAACGATAGGCGAAATTTGAATATTTATGTATTACAGTTCATTATATTGATGAATAATATTTTGGTATACTCTTACCAAAACAACACAGTACAAAGAATAAGAAAACCTATACAGGGCTATTAAGACAAAAAATAGTATTAAAGGAAAAAAACGCGTAAAATAAACGTATCTGAAAGTAGTGCCATATTTTTTTGCAGATTACTTTGATCCTAGTGTAAATTTTATTTATTTGCAAAATAACTTCTTTAAAATTAAATTACAAAAACGGTCAAACTTAATGCGCGATAAAATATTTAAGTCCAGCTCACATTTTATTAGTAAAAGTGAGACAGCATTATGTCCTTTGCCATTTTTATAATGTGATATAAAAATGATCACGTGATATGCAGTGTATAGGCAGGTATCTACAAGTGAGGAACTTAAAATATCAATTTATTCATAATTCATAAAATTTACTTAAATAACATTGTTATTGCGTTTCATATTAAATTTACACTAGGTATTCCTCCATATAAACTTACTTTAATTTTGACATTTTGCTTTGATAAGAGTAACTGATTAACAGCCAAGCACATAGTGGGTACGTGATCCGAGCACGTACTAGGAGGTACGTGATCTGAGCACATACCCAGAATGAGATTTTTATATGAAATTGTATGTAATATTTGAATGACATTGCGATGAAGTGCGATCACTTTGTGGTGGATTCGCTAGTGTATTTTCTATTGTACTGTGTCGACTGAAACACATACCGAAACTATGTTACTAGATTTCACCGAATTTAAACGATAACATTAAAAATAGGAGATTTAGCTATATATCGAAAATAGAAAATAAATAATAATAATCAATTTTTTTTCACAATATTTGTTCAAAATTTAATTATAGCTCTTTCTGTTAAGATATTGTAATTACAAGGATACATAGTATTTTCTATAAATATTAATAATTATTGTTTATTTCATATTACAGAATTCATAAAGCTGTCGCAATACTTATAGAAAAGTATCGAAAACCTCAATTGAAACAGCACTCTTAATGAAACATTGTTAGGGGTTTCATTCTAGTTTCGAGCACCAGAAAATGTGACTTTTTTGAAGTTTTTCTATAAGAATGTGATGATTGTATTTAAAAATTCAAACTGAACTCGTCTAAGGAATTAAATAACAAAGACATTACAAAACTGTTCAATCAGTAATATGATAATGGTTCATATTTATTTTGCCGATAATATATCAAAGAGTATGAATTAGGAGTAGAAACAAATTGTAAATAATTAATTATATTATTATATAAATGTATAGTGCATTTATTTACTGGCTGTTAAGTATTTATATGATTATAGGTAGTACATTGTACCATCACAGCAATTTTATTACTTAATAAATACATTTTGGTTTTCGCTAAAATAACTGCAGTTCACTTTATTGTATTAATATGTGTACTAATGATGCGTATAACATTGTACAAAAAATAATAAGCTTTAATACACTCTTTCCTGTATTTTATTTACATTTTCCCGAGTTTATTTGAAATTCATTTTAGTATACTGATCGGAAGATCTCGATAGTGTAATGGGCTGCAATATGGAAGCTATGCAACTTTCGCAATTGCCGGCAATGGGATGGGTGACCAAAAATTGATCAGGTTGAGCTCAAGTTTTTTGAAAGATAACGTGAGTCGTAAGTCCCGGCTGCATCTGCAGACGTTAACCAATCATCACTGGGTCACACGCTTGTCAAGATTCGATTCCATCCATAAGGAAGTTCGGATATGAATAGGCCACGTAATGATGATGATAAAGAACCTTTCAATTTACAACTCTTACAGAATATGATCTAATTGCAGTACTTTTAAAAAATCTAAATAAATAATTGAAATTATAATTTATAGTATAGCTGTTAAAGTATTATAAAAACATTGTAGTGTTTTAATATTGACGACCTCCATATCCGAGTGTTTATACACCGGTTTTCACGGTGTCGTCATCTCTGAGGGCTAGGGCTCGATTCACGGTCGGGGCAATGCAAAAAATGAAGTTTTCTATATT